ACTCATTACTACAATGGTATTTTTCGTCATAGTGCAAAGCACCACACTTTTTATTTCCACCCAAGCATTTTCCGGCTCCCTTAGCCTTATCGGGAGGAACCACTAGTTTTTTTGAAATTAGTTGACCTCTAAATCTTATTTCGGGACGATTAATTATGACTCAGGAATAAAAAAATGGTTAATGTATTCTCAATTTAACAAATTATCAAGCAATTTCTCCACGTATTCTTGACGATTAGTTCCGTAATCCAAAAAATAAGCGTGTTCTCAAACATCAATGGCTATTAAAGGAAATAAATTAAGAGACCAAGGGCCATCTTGATTGGTAGTATTAATGATTTCTAATCTCCCTTTCTTGTTGTTTAAGACCAGCCAAGTTCACCCACTCCCCCGAATTTTCAAAGCATTATTTACCAACTCTCTCTTCAAATTTTCTCAACTAGAAAATTTTTTCCGGATAAAATTTAATAAAGTAGGATTAATTTTTTCTTTTGCGGATTCGGACTGAGCCCTAGCCAGTTGGGTAAAGAAAAAGTTGTGGTTAATCAATCCTCCCCCAAAAAAACGCACGTCCTCTTTTAATTCCGCAGGCAACTTATTTAAGTTAATCATTAATTCCCGCAAAGAAGGAAATTCCCTTTCTAGTCCCTCCCCCGCTATTGTTTCTAGGAGTTTAATCTCGTAATTTTTATGCAAAACCTCATAATGATAATGCATGGTTTGGGCACTGATAACTGGCGTTAGTTGGTCAAGCTTATAGGGCAATTCAATTCTTTTGTAATTATTCATATTTTCAATTTTTACAACTAAAACTGAAATTTTCTCCGAGGCTTTTTATCAAAGCCTTTATTACTCTCTGTTTCTTCTGATCGAGCGAAGTTACGACCTTTGCTAACTGTTTTCTAAGTAAATATTAAAAAATATTCGGAAATTGTGTCGCTTGTTTTGATAAAAAAGATTTTAAAAAGAGTTAAAAAAACTATCATTTAATTTGCATGCTGTAAATACTATTAAAGAATAAATTTGGGGTGTAGCCAAGTGGTAAGGCAAAGGACTTTGAATCCTTGATCGTTGGTTCAATCCCAGCCACCCCAGCCAAAATTATTAAAGTTACAATGGATATTACTAATAATCAACAAATTTCTACTGAACTAACTGAAAAAGAAGCACAGCGGGATTATCACCGCAAATGATTTATAATCGATTTAGTTGGTTCTGTTCTTTTCTTTATTGTGCTTTTTATTTATTCTTTACTTGATTTAGAGCATGTTTGTTACGGAAGAGTAATATGTTATTATACTCGAATTCAACTTATAGGAATAATGATCGTCCTCATTTTTCTCGGTTTTTGGATTTATCACCTAGTTAGGTGGTTAAAATTCCGAAAAGAATGTCAAAATTTTGCTAGTCAATTGCAACTAGAAAGACGAAACCGAGAGAGAGAGAGAGAGAGATTAATTTAGCAAATCTAGTTGCTGAATTTCTTCTGAATTAGTTTTAGTTTGGTGAGTGGATTTTAATGGTAGTGAATTTTTTCGTTGAGTCGAGATTTTTTTTCATACTTCATCGTATTCAGCAACTAGAATAATTTTAATTTTTTGTCTTGTTTCAACAGGTATATCTTCAATGTCTTTTTGGTTAGCCTTGGGAATGATAACAGACTTTAATTTGCTGCGGTGAGCCGCAATAACTTTTTCTTTTAAGCCACCAATAGCCTCAATTCAACCGTGTAAGGTAATTTCGCCGGTCATGCCTAAATCACGAGAGATGACTTGACCAGTGATATCCGAAATAATGGCCGAAGTTAAAGCAATCCCCGCACTCGGTCCTTCTTTGGGAGTAGCTCCCTCCAAGACATGCACGCTAATATCATTCTGGCGAAAAAATTCGGGTTTGATTTGAAATTTATAACAATTGGCTTTGACATAAGCCAAGGCCACCTGAGCAGATTCTTTCATGATATCACCTAAATTACCGGTCAAAAGCAATTCACCTTTTCCGGGGGAATGGCTAACCTCAATCAACAAGATATCACCACCTACCTCCGTTCAAGCTAAGCCAGTGGCTACTCCTTTTTTAGCCCGTTTCAATTTAGTCGTGGGTTCGTAAATCTTTTTTTTCAAATAACTAGGCAACTTCTCAGGAGTGACAACCAAATTTTTCACTTTTTTTTCTATCATCTGTAAGACAAATTTACGGATAATGGTTTGGATTTTGCGGTTTAATTCTCGCACTCCCGCTTCACGAACATAACTCTTTATTATCTCTTCAATCGCTTCATCCTGAAATTCTATTTCAGAAGAAGTTAAATTGTATTTTTCTAAGTTTTCTGGTATTAAATGTTCTTTAGCAATATGGAATTTTTCCATTTCAGTATAAGAATGAAGTTGAATTATTTCCAACCGGTCAAGCAAGGGGCGAGGTAAATTTCAAGTGCTATTAGCGGTGCAAATAAAAATAATCTTGGAAAGGTTAAAAGGAACATCGTTACCTAGATAGTCATCAGTAAATTCTCAATTTTGGTTCGGGTCTAAGACTTCCAGTAGTGCATCTATTGGGTTAGTCCGACGATCATAGGAAATTTTATCAATTTCGTCAATGAGAAAAACAAAATTTTCCACTCCAACTTTTTTTACTGATTGAATAATTCTTCCTGGCATGGACCCGATATAAGTTCGGCGATGTCCTTTTATTTCGGCCACGTCCCGCATTCCGGCTACGGAAATATGGGCAAATTTTAAACCCAAGGCGTCGGCAATCGACCGACCTAAAGATGTTTTTCCTACTCCGGGTGGACCGACAAAACATATAATTTGCACCACCGATTTTTCTTCTTTTTCTTTTTTGTCATTTTCTTTTAGTTTTTTTCGCACGGCCAAATATTCGATAATTCTTTCCTTGATATCTGTTAAACCGTAATGGTTCTCGTTCAGTTTACGACGAGCAAAACCTAAATCGTTAGTTTCAGGACTTTTTTTTCCTCACGGTAGACCCATTAATCAATCAATATATTGCTTAGTAAGACTGGCTTCACTAGAATAAGGCTGCATCATTTCGTAACGATTAATTTCCTCTCGCGCTACCTTTTTTACTCTTTCGGGATAAGATCCTTTTTCCAATTGCTCCAAATAATCTTGCGGTTCATTTTTAATGGTGTTTTTTTTGTCCCCTTCTGAATTTTCTATCTCGGCTAGTTTTCTTTTAATTGTCCGTAACTTTTCTTGTAGATAATTTTTTTCGTATTGATTTTTCAGACGATCACGGATTTCAGTTTCAACTTTTTTGTCAATTTTCTTCTTATCGAGTAAATCAATCAGTAAGTCTAATCTTTCTTCGACGTTGTCCGAGACCAAAACCCCCCATTTAATTAAATTATCAATTTCCGGGCTGTGCTGAGTAATAAAATCAAGAAACCCTCCAATTTCATTTTTTTTGATACTCATCGTCGGCAATTTTTCGGCCGGAATCTTGACTTTTTCTAGAATAACGGAGAGGTAGCGAAGCAATTTTTCCGCTAACTGGCTTAATTTTTCCTCGGTTAATTTCTTTTCGAGCAAAATCTCATATTTTCCCCACAAAATTCCTTGTTCCTTCTTAACATCGACTAGTTTTGTTCTCTCTAAACCCTGTATTCGAACTTCGCGACACGAGTTAATAAACGCTTCGGGACCAACTTGGTTCGGAATATTTAATGTGACTTTGGCCAAAACTCCACGTCTCGAATATTCCGCGGTTTTTATTCTGGTGGTTTTATTAGTAGCAATAGTTAGATTGGGAACAATCAATAAATACCCCTCACTTTCTTGTCAAGAATGTATTAAAGCTTTTTTTTGTTCGGAATTATTTTCAATTATTAGTAAACACTCCTGTTTCGGAAATAAAAAAAAATTATTAGTTAATAAAACCGGAAGTTTTTGTGGTATCATAATTATCAATTTTAACTTTTTGGTGCCCACGAAGAGAATCGAACTCCTGACCAAACGCTTAGAAGGCGTCCGTTCTAATCCACTGAACTACGTGGGCTTATTAAATTATTTTAATCCAAACCTGATTTTTCCTATCCCTTTTTTCTCGGCAATAATGTAAATTTACTAATGTCCGGAGAAAACTCGTCATGAACCCGATTTCATTAACTTTACCGGATTTATTAAAGTTAGAGAAAAGTTTTAATGACTTACCAAAATAACCAATTTCTTTTTACTAAGGGCGGTGATTTTTTTGCGGAATTCTTGGCGGCGGTTGGTATCGAGAGCATTATCAGCTTCGTCAAAAATAAAAATCTCTTTGTCGGCACTAGTAGCAAAAAGATTATTTAAATCAACTAATTGTTTTTGTCCGGTAGACAAACCATTTTCGATTAAATTTTGGTGTTCGGAGTAGGCGATTTTGTTTCGTCAAGCAAGTAAGTTTATTTCGCTCAACTTATACTTATGATTAATCAATATTTCTCCGGCGGCGGGTTGCACCAAACCCATAGTCAAAAGTATTCGTGTGCTTTTTCCTGAACCATTCTGTCCGATTAGACGATTAACTTTACCTTGCTCTCAAGTTAAATCTAACTGGTGCAATACTGGCTGTTCGGGTTGGTAAGTAAAACTTACTTGCCGGAAAGAGATGCTGGTAATAGGTTCTGGGATAAGGAGATTTTTTTGGATATCATCACGTTCAGGTTGAGTGAGAAATTGGTTTATTCTTTGCAGGGCAGAAAAATAGTAGGGATAATCCCGCAATCTTTCTACCATTTTTTTTATTCCCCCAAATATTTTCCCGAATAATTTGGTAGTTAGCAAGGTGCTTGACCCAGTTCCGCGGAGAAAAATCAGCAGAAAAAAATCACAGTAAGGAGTTAAAGAGAAAGCCGGTATCACTCAGGATAGAGTATAAACTCAATCACGACGGCCGGACTCGTCTTGGGTCCAATTTACTATTTTTTGGTAAGAATGGTAAGTATCATCGGCTAAACCCTTTTTAATTATTAATTCCCGGTTATTAATAATAACATCTTCTTTGTGCATTTGCTTGGCTAGTTTATTTTGAAATTTCAAATCAGCTCAGTAAAGAACGTATTGTAGAAAGGAAACAACTCCCGAGGTAACCAGTGAATAAACTAAACCGGCCCAGAATGGATTATAATTAGGATTTTCATCGTTTTTCGTGGTTATTCATATACTTAGGAGATTAAAAATCGTGCTAATGACAAGATAAAACAGTTGGTTAGGGAAAAATATTATGCCTTCATTTAGTCCAGTTAAGCGACGAACATCATTATTGAAAATGTTAAGGATAGTTTTTTTATCGTAAGTGTCTCGCAAACGGAAAAATTTCTTCATTAGTCGCTTTCTTAAAAATCGCTTAATTTTGTTGCCGAAATAATAAGCATAAAAGACATGAGCGATTACTGTCAGACAGTAAAGAGCAACGAAAGCAAGTATGAAAAGTTGAAAAGTGATAAACCCCGTTTTTCCTTGAAACCAATTTCCCAGTCAGCCTTTTTTTCCGATAATCGCTTGGTTAAAAATTTTAAATTCCAGATTGCCTTTGTTACCCCGAATTTTGTCAGTCAGATTAGTAGTCGAATTTTGGTCGATAATGGATGCTAAAAGAGCACTAGCGATAGTCAAAAGATAAAGTATTACTTGCTCTTTCTGGTATTTTTTAGTTAACTTTCGTCAATTTAATTGGGGAAATTTTTCTGGCATATGACTTTTATTTTATAAGGAAAGGGGAGGGAGGTAAATCAGAAATTTGCCGAAAAATAAGGGGGTAGGGGAAGGAAAAAAGGAGTGTTTTTGGCTAGTAAAAGCAGGGGAAAAGATGAAAATGAGATGGCGATAAATGATGCGGGAAACAAAAACTTTTTTATTTTTTGTAAAAAATAACATATGTTTAGCAATGCTAAGAAAGGAAAAGGGTTAGAAAGTGGAGAAGGTTTGAATTCCGACCAAGATTTGATTATAGTTGATGACGAGGAAAAAAACGATTTTGATTTTTCCCCGAATGAATGCGAGGAAAAGGAAGCGGAAGAAAGAGAAAGAATAAAAAATGAGGAAACGAGAAGCATAGCAACATTGTTAAAAGAAATTGAAGGTCTCAAAGAAAGAATAACTTTTTTAGAAGCCGAAAATAATCGCATACAATCACTTGTGGTAAATCAATACGAGCAAAATGACACTCTTCGCGAAGATGTCAAAAAAAATGAGCGGAAAATTAAGGCCAAAGAGGCGAGAATTAAAGAATTAGAGGAAAGCGTTTCTTCCTGGACTTGCTCTTACGATAAGAAACAAAAAGATTTAGACGATGCTGTTAAAGAAAAAAATTCACTAGCGAAGGAAGTTAATTCTCTCCACAGCAAGATTAAATCCGAAGAAAAAGAGAACAAAAATTTAAGGTCAGAAAAGTCAGAGAGAGAGAGAGAGAGAGACAACACAGTTAGGGAATTAAAAGCCCAAATTACCCAAGACTGAAAATGAAAAATTGGTTTAAGCATGCTTGCTGGAACATTGTTTCTGGTAATAATCGGGTTGTTAATCTTTAATGATGAATCAGAAAAATCGGTCGAGCCCGAGACTAAGAAAAAAGTTAATTCTAAAAACAAAAAAAATAAATAGTTAGTAAAACAAGACAGGAAAGAGTTTAGTGGCACAGAATTTTAATGCTTGACATAAATGACTATTTTTTTTTGTGCAATTAGTTCTTGGATACGAATGGCCAATTTTTGTTGATTGACTGGGTCCAAAGCATTATCGGCTTCGTCAAAAAGTCAAATTCGGGCGGCTTTTTTTTTCTCAAAAGTCTGGTTAATATTGGCAAGTTGTTTTTGTCCGGTTGACAAACTATTAGTGATTAAATTGTCATGGGAAAGGTAATTAACATTATTTTCTCGTCATCGCTGCAAGTTTAAATCGCGATGAAGAACGTAATTTTCTTTCTCTTCTTCTCCTTTCTCGGTCGTAATCACTATTTCTCCTTTCTCGGGAGTCAATATTCCTAGCACAAGATACAAAAGAGTGGTTTTGCCCGTGCCATTTTTGCCCGATAATTGGTTTATTTCTCTATTCGTAAAAGAACGATTATAATTTTCTAAAATTCACTTTTCTTGACCCTGATAACGAAAATAGACTTGCCGAAATTCAACCGATTTTATAATCTGGTTCGGGGCTAGACGATAACCTAATAAATTATCATTTTTTTCGGGTAAAGTCAAAAATTTGTTAATTCGCTCCTGTGAAGTCTGATAGTCAGTATAATCTCAAAGACAATGAAGAATATCAGTCAGATTTCCTAAAATCCGTCAAAAAACTATCAAAACCGTCCCGTTAAGTTTATTTCGAGTTAAAAACAAAAGTAAGAAAGGAAACATTTCGAAGAGTAATTGGTTGGGAAGGGTTTGGTTAAGTGATCGGAAATGGCTAAATTTTAGCAGTAATTTTTCGTTACGACGAATTATTTTTTGGTGTTGAGCCCGAAACTGCGAAGTTAAGCCCATGCTTTCGATAAGAACGGCTTTGCTTATTTCCTTTTTTCGCATGGCCCACTCAGCGGTTAATTTTTTCTTATATATTCTTTCATTGCGGGAAACTTTCTTAGTGAAAAAGGTAAAAACAGAGATAAGTAAAACTAACCAGAAAAAAAAGAAAATTGATGGTCCTGTTGTCAGCGAAAATAATTCGGTTTGGTAAGTAAGAAGGGTGATAATAACTTCTCACAGACTATGAAAAAAATGGTTCGGTAAATGTTCCCAATAATAGCCAATGGCACTCGTGTCCTTTTCGACTAAGCTAATGACTTGGTCTTTGTAGCGTTGTTTTTCTTCCAAGGGCAGGCCACGAAATTTTTCGAGCAAAACGTTTTTGCTGTAATGTCCGCCCCGCACTCTTAATTCCCTTTCAATTAAGTCGTCAAAATAATAAAGAAAAGAGTAAAATATCACTAGTATTAATCCGCCGGTGACAAATTGCTCCAAACTAATTGGACCACTAAGATTTGACAATCATTGCGGTAATAAATGTTCTCAGTGACCGGTGAATTTTCCCTGAAAAATTTTAGTAATGATTTTCGACAACCAAGCGAAGATAATTATGCGAATTAGGGAAAGGAAAAAGTGTTTGCTAATCAGAAATTTGAATTTTCCAGCCAAAGATTTAAAGTTTATTTTCTGAGCCATTTTTTAGTAAATAATATTTTTAACGATAATACACTCATGCTATTGTTGTAAGAACGCCAGACACGAAAAGAGATCCTATTCAGTTCATCGTAATTTTAATTTTTTTATTTTTCTAAACTTTCCAAATAAGACTAGGACTAATAGAAATAATGTTGTTATTAAAAAAAGTATTAAATAGGGAAGAATATAGACCTTAAAATAATCATTGAATTGAAAAGTAGTGTTCAAACGGTCTTCTACAATTTGATTGAATTCTTTATCCAGTTTTTTTCTTTGCCCTTCTAATTCCTCAATTTGCTCGATTTTTTTTCTGTCGACTATACTTTTATTAGAAGGAAGGATTTCTTCAAGTTCTTCAATCAGTTTGACAAGAAATTTGATTCTTATTTGGACATCTTCTAATCTTCTTGCAGATGATCTTGGCTCGACTTGTCATTTTTTCGTCTGTTCTTTTTCTCCTTCCACCTCCTCGCAGTAAGCTTCTAATTGTTGGCGAAAAACCGTGCCTCAGCAAGAAAAAAGTTGCAATTCTTCGGTTGACACATGTTCTAAACCGGTAGTGATAGTCTTACTGTCACTGATATTCAGAGTTTTTAATCCTCGACAATTTTCTAAGAATTTGAGGGAATTATTGACGAATCAACAATTAGAACAATTCATTAGTGACAGTTCAGTTATCTCACAGTCATCTAAATTTAATACATCTAGATGACAACGATTTAGATTTAATACATCTAGATGACAACGATTTAGATTTAATTCTTTTAAATTAGGGCAACCTTCAATATCCAATACCGCCAAATTATCACAATTATTTAAAGTCAAATTAGTTAATGGGGAATGAACACTTAAACTCAAATTGATTGTCCAGGAACAGTTTATTAAGTCGAGAGCAATTGCACCGGAAAAATTATCGAGATTTAATTCAAGCGAACCATCATCACCTTCTAAATATAACTTAAACGAGTTAGGAGAATAATTTTCTAAAATCAGTTCAGTTAAATTATCTAATCCATTCAAATCTAATTTATCATTATCATTAGACAGTATGATTTCTGCCTTTTTGATAAGTTTTTTTTCAACTAATTCATTGTCTCAAATTTTTTGACAATAAGCGGCCTCTAACCGCTTTTGAGCATTGTCTTCCTCAAACATTAATGTTTTTTTAATATAATTTTTTTTAAATTATATATTATATAATGCTAGAAAGAAAGAATAAACTTTCTATTTTTATTTTTCCTTCCCTTCACACAAATTTCGGACAAAAATTTTTTGACGACTACCAAGAATTGGCCGAAGAACTATTTTCTTATCAACAGTATCAGCAAGAAGAATTAGGAAAAAAATTCCAAGAATTAGGAAAAAAATTCCAAGAATTAGGAAAAAAATTCCAAGAATTAGGAAAA